CAAATCTTGAATTGCCATAATTTCAGAAAGTGGAAATCCAAATGGAACCTCCTCAGGTACGTATGGCTGCAAGCCTGTGTCTGCATGCAAAGCACATTCTCATTTGTTTCTCATCAACACTTCCACATTAGATGATAGGGTCTGAAAAGCTTCCCTCAACTGTTCAAAGTTTCTCTGCAGATCTCCAAATGTTCCCTCAAGTGCTTCTTTGTCAGCTTTCAGCTCATAAATGTGTGCTTTGAGCTGGTGCACCTCAGCTTGCAGCTCACTATTCTTTGCCTCTAGGAGGTTCATGCCAGTTCTGAGTTCTTTGTCACTAATTGGAATGACATCAACAATTTTTAAAGGGTGAAAGCATTGCAGTCATCATCTGATGTGTCATGCCCTCAGTGACAGACTCATCACCACAGCTACCTGCACTTTCACCTAAAACACATTATATATACACACATGCCATCAATGATCATGGTTACCTCATCATGGTATAGTCAAACCCCTATAAGGCATATNGTGCTTGACTGTCTTCCATTCATAATTGCAGTTAAAATACCATTTTGACGATTTTTATTGTGGAGATGAAAATGTAGCTGTAGGAAATGTAGCTGTAGGAAGTGGATGGTGTCTTTAGCCTGCACTTTCTCAGGTTCAAATGCTTGATGATACCATGGGCAACAGCCTCTAATGCTGCTGGGGAAACACGCCTTTTCTTAGCTAACCTGGAACATCTCCTCAACAATCCTCTTATGAGGAAGCAGGACTGAGTAACAAAGTTTTGCAAATGTGGCTATGCTGCTGAATGGATAAGGGGCTTTTTAGTGTCTTGCATAATTCTAAGTTTTGGTAAATCTTTTCATGAACCAGGATGATGGCTGAGCTAGGACTCACTATTTGATTTTTCCTCAAGTACAGTACCATGGTCACTGTGACTGTTAGGATTACTGCAAATAAATTAGTCTTCTATCATCACAAGGTACAAACTGATAACTGAAAACTTGAAAAAAAATGGGAAAGTTTTTTGCTTCAAGATGTATGGTAATTGAATTAATGCAGCACAGAAAGAATGAACACCTGGTGCAAATGTAATGTTCCATGAATGAACCTCTTGTGATTTTTTCAGGTTTGGTGGCTGGCATTAGAGCATTTAAAAAAAATGGCGATGGTGGGGTAGATGCTTATATGCAAGCAATGGAGTTTCTTCAAGTTGTAGAGGGCTTCCTGTATTCAGTTGGCAATAAAGCCTTTCTTAGGAAGACAGTATTGAGGATAATTGGCAGGGCTGGTGACTGTGCTGTTGATCTTGTTACTTGCAAGATTAAGGAAAATCAGCGAGTAGAAAGAAAGGGAAGGCCAATAAATGTTCATTCTCTAAAAGACAGAAAGCCAAATAAAGGTTCCAAAAATGGTCAGTTGTCTTCAAATGAATATCTGTCAAAAAATATACAGGCTTCTTTGGATTTGTTGTTTGCACTCAATTTTTCTATTTACTTGACAGGTTGTATGTATCAAATTTAGATATTGTTCATGTTTTTCAATAGAGCAGATTGATCCTAGAATTAAAGACTGTTCCTTCTATACCTAGAAGTAATGAGGCAGAAATTCCAAGGTAGATTTGAGCGATTTTTTGCCTCAATTTTTTTTACTTTTGCTCTGGTTCAGTAGCTTTTTCTTTGGCTTAAACCTTCCCGAGCAGCCAGAGAAAAGAAACTTCCTGTGTGATGCAATGTTAGCCAAATATTCAGTAACGCACAATTAAGGTTACATTAATCTATATTCACATTTTCAATTGACATATGCAGGTTCTCAAAATGTTAATGAAGAAGAGAGCCCTGTTGCATATGTGGGGAGAAGGGAACAAAGTACTGGCAATGATGGAAATTTTTGGGACAATGAAGAAAGCATAGGTAAGTCTACTTGTTTTATTATAGGCATTCCACTAATGTTTAAAAATCAAATTCAATTTTCTCATGGGTCTGACATATTTCTGCAGGGCTGGATACCATTTCTGCAGGAGAAATTCAAGACGAACATGAACTTTGTTGAAAGGTGTATCCCTAGTTGGTCACAGTTTTGATTCCTCGCGGAAGAGATGTGTGAAGTTGATGAGTCTATGATTGCATCAGTTCTTAATTTTGAAGTCTGTTTACTTTTCTAAATTGCAGGTTTATTGTGATAGTTTTTGCATGGCATCCAGTGATTTTAAAGTTTCAAATTATGTGATGTAACCATTTCAGTTCATTGATTATCTGTCTTTTTGTTTAGGAGTCTTATGAACAGGAATGTTTGACTGATATGTTTGAAGTTCTCTAACAGCATGGATACTATCATATTGTCATTGCCCTGTACCTGTGGATATGACTTCTGAAGTAGTCAGTAGATCTTCTTCAATTTTTCTGTTCTCTGTGCATTTCTTGAGCTATCTACTCTTCATGCAATGTGGCCAGATTATCAGACATGGCAGGTGGGAAGAGGAATCTCTCCCCACACATTAAAATAATCTGCTGGTTACAAGACAAGACTAACACAGATCACTTTTCACTAACTTCTCCTGAGTTTTTGTTGTCATACAAGATTTGAGCTAATTTTTACCAAAATGATGTTTGGACTATGATCAGGCGGGCGTGACAGGGAATAACACAACTTATGGAGAGAGATGAGACAGGGCCAGGCTAGCATTTTGTGAGAAATTATTTGAGGGAAAAATCAGTCAGAAAAAAACAGGACCATTTTTTCAGTAAATAACCTAAGCGGCAATCTATCCATTCAAATGCTTTCAGATAATTCAAGTTCTTGGGAACATTTTGAAGTGGCAGTTTTTATGAAGTTTAGTGGAAGTTGGAAGAGTTATATGTGGGGAGTAACTAACTCATGTCTAGTAATGTGTACAATGTGGTGAAGAAATTATCCCAAATTTGTATTAAAATATCTGAGCTAACTCGATCCAAAATATGCTGAGCTTCATACTGAAAGAAGATGCAGAAATTTACCCAATCTTCAAAAAATTAGTCCGGTTTTCCTTCAGAATGTATCAAAATTTCCTGTACTCCACTAAAGTATTCCAAAACTTGTACTGTACTCCTCCAAAATAAAAGTAAAAAATTTTCTTTTTTCCTCCAAAAGTAATCCAAAACTTGTCCTTTTCTCCTCCAAAATATATCCAAAAATTGTTTTGCACTCCTCCAAATTAAACCAAAAAACTTGTTCTTCACTCCTCCAAAATAAATCCAAAACTTGTCATTTTCTCCTCCAAAATATATCTAAAACTTGTCCTTTTCTCCTCCTCTAAAAGTTATCAAAAACATGTCCCAATGGTATCCAAGAATTGTCTGTCTTCCACCCAAAATGTGCCCCTCTCTCCTCCAAAAGGTGTCTGATTTTTGTTGGCAGTTATCCAAGCGAGCTTTCCAAAATGTTGCCTGATTTTGGGAAGATTCTGGGAAAAGTTAGTTTGGATAACTTTTGGATAAAAAAAATGAACAATTTCATGCTCACTGGGTTGTGAGGTTTTCTTGAGATGCTCAACTTGATGACCTTGAGTTTTTGTTCAGGTCTTTAAACTTTGGTCCACTTCAAATAAACAGTGTACATTATTCCATTCCGCATTAAAAAACCTAAGCTTGTCTTAAGAAATTATTTTTCACATATATTCCAATGTCAGTTTTAAAAATATGTCTTAAAATTCTGAGAACATAGAGGAAAAAAGTAGGATGAAAATAAGACTCATTCCTTCTTCAAATCCTTTCACAGTTGCTGCAGTGAACTCTTTTACAAAAACATTGTACTGTACATGGCACAGCAATATCCTCCTGATAAGAGTTAACTTTTCTGGTGTCCGTAGATTATTTAAGGTGACATACTCCACTCATATTCGAAACATTTTTTCTTCGAAATTTTTCGTGTTCACGAGTTTTTTTTTTTGTAGACGGGAACTTCGTTCTTGGTGACTTTTTTCCCCTCAAGAGGCTCCAAATTTTCCCCTTTTAAATGAAAAGTTTAAAATATTTTTTTCAGTCTTGCATTATTGAGTTCCAAACATATCCGTATGGAATTCGTGCATTGGCAAGGTTTTGAAATTTAAAAATCCCTGTCATGATAAAATCTGAATAATGACTGCTCTGTCACTTTGAAAATTGCGAGGAAAAGATTGCAGAGCAAATGAAGAGTCTCTGCGGGCCAGATCTGGCCCATGGGCTGCACAGTTTGTTGAGCAGTACTGGCTCATAGTGCATATATCTGCTTGATTTCTTGCCGTGTGGACTCATTTCTATGCAAAAAAATGACCAGATTATTCGCAGTTTCTTCTGCCTTGTCAGTTTCCGTGCTTAAAAGGTTAAAGAAAATGTTTACATCAATTTTTCTGAAGGATGTACTGCATTCGTCACGTGTGAGAAGTTATTGAGACTTTTTATATTGACTCCTATAATAGGGAAATATGATCCAACACATGTCTTGTCTGAGAATTACCCTAATCATGTCCATGACATCTTACTGCCAGCAATTTCCAAAGAGGAGCAACCCTGACCTCTTGGATTCATCATCAGGCGTGTTGTCCAAAAATGAAGGTCTGGGTCGGTCGGTGTCCCAGAAAAAAACCCGGGAACCCCTCACACCCGATCTCCGGTCCTCCGCAGTGGGCACAGGAATGATTGCCGGGCCAGCACGGATTCGAAAAAAAAATGAATGAAAATAAGGCACCCGTTTCCGCAACATCGGAAATGAGCCGGGTTGCGTGCTCGCTCACAAGGAGCCCAATTTAGCCACCCGACCGAGTATTGTTCCGGCATTAATTTTTTTTTTTTTTGCCTCCTCATGCGTTAAAGCCGATCCATCACGAGCCGCACTTGTTCCCGGGAGTCGGATAACGCCGGCGGTTATAATTTGCCTAATCATACGCTGCCGACACGAAATTGCGTGCTCACCGTGGGCACGAGCAAAACCCGGTTTACGTGTGATTTTCCCGAAAAACCTGCTTCGCGGGAACTCGGGGTTCGTTCCTCCACCTGCTGTTCGCAGATAAGCCCGTGAGATCGGGATCGAAAATTGGCAGGCTATAAAGCCCCACCCGGGCTCCACTCCTCCGTTTGCCAAGAGTGTTGCTGATCATCCCTGCCCCACATAAGACAGTATTTACGCGCAAAAAACAAAACATGAAGACTTCTCTTCTGATCTTTGTGGCTTGCGTCTCTGCTGCGTCGGCACAACGTGGTGAGGAAAAAAACGAGCCCGGTCGATTTTAGCCAGGCAATTTAGCAGGTTTGACAGCCTGAATGAATTTTTGGACTGCCGAATCAATTGCGAAATTTAACTTCATCTGCATTCTGAACGACCAACATTATCCCTCGTTTCCAATTGCAAAGCCTTTTCAAAGGATTGATTGATATTTTCTGTGGGCTGAATGTTTTATGCAGGATAGGTAAAGAAGCTTTACAGTCATCCCCCGGCTAACAGACTTAATTCGTTTAACAGACAAGTCTGTTAGAAAAAAAAGTCCTTCAGACAAATTCAATTATTAAAAAAAAATCAAAAATTTCAATTTTCAACACTAATTTTAAACCAAAAGGAGTCTGTTTGGCAGATTTTGTCTGTTGGGCAGGAGGAAAAACTGCCTGCAGAGCTGGTCTGTTAAGCAAAAATCCCTTACACGGGAGGTCTGTTACGTGGGGGGGGGGGCACTGTATTTGCCATTTGTTAGCATTTGCAAGATTTAAAAAATATTTTCCCACAACCCATCAACCAAACCCCACCCCCTCTCCTCTTCTGTACAAACACATCCCAGCATTTCAGGATGCTTGCTGGATATGTTATCTGGATATGTGTGACCTTCAGATTCATTCCTCAGTATAGAGATACTATACAAAATTGAGTGCTTTCAAGATCAGCCCATTGCCTGAGCAAAACTTTTTGAGTGTTTAAAAATAACACAAATATTTTGTGGGCTGGCAAATTAACGCTCAACAGATGAATGATTGAGTAATCCAGATCCTGTCCTGTAACAGGTAATCCTGCAGCCAGCATGAAAGGGAAACTTTCTTGTGGACAGACAAAAATTTCTGTAAATTGCTTCATCACTGCTGTACGGTATGCATGTTTTGTAGTGTGTTTAATTGAGTAGCATGTTCACTTTGTTTCTGAGAATCTAAACCAAAAAATGGAAAGTATCTTACTTGTTTGTACATCTTTTAAAATGTGTGCGTGATTAATACTCAAATCATTGGGTTGATCCAAAAATTTCAAAACTTTCAAGCAAAATAAATTTTAAGCTTGGCCTGATCAATTAATTGCTTGCTGTTATGCTTTGCTTCGTATTTCCAAATTTTATTTAAAACTGAAATTGGCATCTATTGTGGATTTTAATATGGAATTTATGGATCACCAAAAATGTGTGGGGTGCATGCAGGAAAACCTTTTAGCCAATTTTTTCTCTGCAAGATTAAGATGCCAATTTTACTAGAGGGGTATGTGGTACTTGAGTAATGTTAGTAGCAATGGCTAAGCATTGGTCAATACCTATTGCAGTATACTCAAGGATTTTATTGGTAATCGTAATCACACATAAGCAGATGATGTGAAACATGAAGTTCGTAAAGACTAAAGGAGACGCCCTTCATATTTTTTCGTTGAGATGGAAGAAAAAAGGACGTAACTTAATCAATGAAATTTCCAGTATTTTGCCAATTTCTAAGAACAGGAATAAAGGAGTGTTTGATGGAATGATACATATTTTCGTCCATCTATTCTCAGCTTGTTCGCACCTCAAACCTCATCTGAAAAATCGCTCTACCGTAAATGAAATCGACACAAGTTGAATCCTTCCCTAAATATATATTTTTACTGCTGATTTCCGAACCAAATAATTTTGGCATTGGCTCCACGTGAATTTTAAATTACGAAATGCAAATCGCACGGAACCAAGGATATTAAAGGGGCTAAAAATACTGTGTTATGCAGGCCACTTTGATGCCCTCATTTGAAAATACTGTACAGGTGGACTTTCTTTACAACAATTTTGTTTATAATGATTTTCTCGGCATAACGATGTATCTTTTTTCGGCCCCATGGGGGTTTCTCCCCATTTTTGGGGGTTCTTCACAACGAAATCCACTCTACAATGAATTTTTTCTGGTCCTCTGGATTTTTTTTTAGAGAGAGATCACCTGCATCAACTTAATGAACAAAATCAAAGTTTAGGACTACTGTACTGTCGAACAGAGTCGGAAACTCAATTAAAGTATTGTAATGTACCTGCATTTTTCGAGGATCTTTCAACTGTACAAGCAGCGAATTTAGCAAAGAGTGACACTCAAGGACGAGCGTGAATTAACCTGGTTCGCTGCTTTGACGCACGAGAAACGAAAAGCTTTGCAAAATTAATCTTGAAAACAGCGGCGATGAACAATGGCGTTCGTTGATGAGTTGACAAATAACAGGAATGCTTTTGGGCAATGTTCACATCTGTATTGGCCACGAATAAATCATCAGCTCGCTCAAGCCGATTGATGTTCGTGCCCTGGGCAAAAAAGGGAACCCGGGAAGCACGGGGATGATGTTCGATTCAGAGTCCCCGGGGGTGTCGAAAATTCCCAGTGGTCGTTATCCCTGCGGCTCGGGGTCGCAAACTTTTGCGTGACTTTGTGTTCTCAATTTCCATCGATTCCTTTCTCTCCCCAAACTTTGCTGCTGCTGCTGCCGTGGTGGACTCCATCGACACACACGTGGTGTCGCAACGTCGACAGAAGTGCCATGGAACGACTTGAGAGGTGAGTGCGAATTTGTTTATTTTCGCGAGGCTACACATGGGCGGAACCCGGTGTAGCAGGCAGGGCGTACTCCCCAGGTACAGCATACTCCCCCTGCAGGAGGATTAGTCCACATCCGCGGAGTGCGATTCAGCAGAGGCTCTTCTGCAGTGATCACTTATGCAGTGGTATCTTCCACAGGATTCAGAGGAAAGTTGATTCCACAGTGATTCTTGAAGCAGCATTTACTTTGGCAAAAATAATGATGAATTCTGCGGAAATCTATTTTCAGGAGAGGCCTTGGAGCTATCCCACTTGGGGGGAGCCATGCCCAAACCAATGCTCTCATAGATGTTGCTAAGAACAACACACAGAATGTTATCAGCAGCATCCATGTGTGGCTCTCAAAAATGAATCCTCTTTACCCCAATTATAAGGTCAGGTTATGTTAGTTAATAATTAATGCAAAAGTACAGTAGAACTTTGGACAAGAAAGTGTTTCAGACCTTGAAAATGCTTTGTCATATACGAAAATTCATCAAAAATAAATTTAAATAAGAATGTTGGGGCAGGGACTGAAGAAGACATTTCTCCGAAGCATGAACAAGATTCGTTGCAACAAGATGGAATTGGCTCTCCTCTGAATTTCGTTGAAAGAACTACTGCATGTGTTCACCATGGAACTTCACTCCGCGGATTTGAATAGACCCGCCGGACGGCATAGTGCACACTGGAGTACACCCTGCCTAGGTAGGGTGTACTCCTGGAGTGCATCCTGCCTAGGCAGGGTGCACTCCTGGAGTACGATTTTGGGGGAGTACGCTGTGCCGCCCACACCGGGTCCGTTCCTCAACGGGAGTCACTGTTCGCATTCATTTTGAGCCTTGGCGGGTTGGACAGTGGAGCAGGCCTTATGCACTCCGGGATCCTTCTTTTATACACCCCTGTAACTGCAATGGTATGGCATTCACAGTGGGGCCAAGCAGACAAAATTGGTGCTTGAACCTTGTCCCCGTGTCACAGCATCTATGCGTCAGATTTTGCTTTCCCACAGACTTCATTGAATTTGTCCTGTTCATCAAAAATTAGGAATGAAGTCCACAAAAAAATTGAATTAAATTTTTTGTGACTTAAAGGTACAAGAAGCTCTGTTTTCAGTTGAGTACTGCACACCCTCAAGTAAGATAACATGCACTAGAATTTGTCAGTGGAAATCTTTTTCATAAAATCCTGTCCCCAAGTAAGACACACACCGCACTCTAGCAACTGTTAAACCATAATATTTCAAATATAAGGACACCCAAAATTAAATATAGACATGAATCAAACATGTATGATTCAACTAACTTTCAATTATTTCCTGTAAAAATATGATTTTCTGTTAGATTTGATTCAAAATTTTGCATCAGAATCAAGAATAATGTACTTCTAAACTTCTAAAACTTTTTGAAAAATGTATACCCAACTATGTGTGTACCAAGTTTTTTCCCTTTCCAGAATAATTATTTTTACTTGATTTGTTCAGTCAATATAAAAGTTTACCATCACACAATTTTTAATTTTTCTATGCAAATTGCAAAAGTGTCCATATTTTGAGACATTGTCTGCATCCTGGGGCAGATTTTTTAAAAAGTGTCCCTGAGTCAAATTGTCCCTATATCAGAGTCCCACTAATGTGGTTGCCTCCAGACCAGTATTCCCAACCCATGGTCTGCAGACCTCCAACAGTGTGCAGATATTTTTTGCTGGTCTGCTGGAAATTTCAGCATCATGCATTTATCTAAAGTAGCAACAAAGTCAATTATCTAAAATTCTAGAAAGACAATGGCAGTTGGAAGTATTTGATGAAAAACAAAATTTGACTTTTCTTTCAACAACACTTCCAGACAAATTTACACCTGATGAAATACATTATTTTAATTTCTAATATTGAGAAACCTTTTATCAAGTCCACCTTCCTAATGTTTTGATGACATTCAGCTATATAGCCGCTTCATTTATGCTCAACTTAATTTTTGAAAGAAAAAAAAACAGAGTTTAAATGCCTGCCAGGAAGTCTTTCAAGCAGAACTTCTTTGAGTTTGCAAAAATGTTATGAAACCTTGAAGGTCAGCAGAACATTTTTTGGGAATTTATTGGTCCACAAAAAGTTGTATGGGAATTTGCTGGTCTCTGGGCCAAAAAAAAAGAGGTTAGGGAACACTGCTCGATACGGGCAAGCCATTGCAGAAGAGTTGTCATAGTACTGTATCTGTTCCGGACAGGGAGTAGAGATCCAACTGCTACACCAGCCACGAATTCCGTCCTCGTTTGCATGATGCATTGCCCCATCAGCCATCACGAGTCTTCCCAATGCGCTCGCGTTCCTGTTTCAGCATGAGAGCTTCCGCCCATCGCATTTCTTCAACTTGATTACGCTACTTGTTCGGAATTCATTGCTGCTTGTCATGGGTGCGGAAGGAAGGAAGGATAAGAGTGGTAGGAAAGAATGCTATCTTCCGCCGAAAAACCTACAAAATGAGTGTTTCCCTTTGTTACCCGAACGGCTTAGAACCGTTGCTTCCACGCACGCCGCCTTTTTCCACATACGCACGAGAATTCGTTTCACCGACTCGACTTTTCGAGCAGGCGAATTTCGGGGATTGCTTCTGGTTTCATGGAAATTCGCAATGGGATTTTATGTGGTAGCTTTTGAGCTATGCCTCGCACGCGAATCTACACCACATAATGCAGAATAAGGGTCCTTTTTTATTTTTGAGAGGAGGAATATTGTTGAACCACTGTGGGACCCCGACGTACGGAAGATTCGACTAGCTCAGGGACACTGAAAATTCGTAAAATTTGCACCGACATCGCGATATATTTCTTGAGATACAGACGTTTTTTTTAAAATCTCGAAAGAACCTCTTCATAATTTTGATATCTCTTGAATAAATTAAAATATTCAAATTCACATAAGTTGAGAATAATTTTTCATGCAAGATTACTCCAATTTTTAATAAAAAGAACAGGCTTATTTCGCGCTTTTCTCCCCGGAATTTTTCCATCATCTATGCACAGAATAGCTAGACTTGTTCATTGCTTCTTCAGCTCCTTCCAATGCCAAAAGATCAGATTATGCGTGGTTTTCTTCCGAGCAGTTATTTTCCAAACTCGAGAAAAGCATGCTTGTTCAAATTTTTTTTTGAACTCTCCGCATAATTTTTGATACAACTAAAAACCAATTACGTACGTTTCCATGGAATCTATGGAAATAAGTGATTTGAATTATTCACCCTCCATCACATCAACATCTCGGGTGGACCCACTGTACAGTATTTCTTCTCATTCTTCATGAAAACAATTTCGGTTTGAACGAACGGGAAGTTTTGCGCCGTCACTTCATTGGTAACCTTCGACGGTTTTCTTTTTATTTTTCAGTGATTTTCGAATCATGGATCGATGAGTCAAAATAAATTATTCCGTTGTGTCTACGCATTCTTGTAACGGAAGCAGGTGCTCAAAATGTTCCTTCATTAAGGAGAGACGTGACAGTACAGTATTTGATTAAATCAGGTCTCTTAAATTTGCTGATGCAGCTTAGTATATTCTATCGAATTTTCAATGTTGTTGTCGGGAAATTAAGTCTTCGCAGCCACCGTAGAATCCTCACACTTGGACCACGTGAGGTGTTTCTCACTTTTGAACAACATCCCAGATTCAGAAAGAAAAAACAGACGAAAAGACACCCGTTGTCAATTATTCTACTCGATGTCTTTTCTGCTCTTGAGACACTTATCTCAATTTTTTTTCAAGGAGCAAAAGCGTTGAGAATCGATTGAAGCGACCCCCCTTCAAAATAAGAAATAACGGATATTCAACTGGGAAGAGCTTTATAGGCATTAAACATTATTATCCAACCGATCAATTCTTAAGAAAAGGCGCATCTTTGATGTCAAGAATGTTCGGTTCAATCCACTTTTCTTTTTTATTTTATTTCAAATTTTCTTCCTTCTCTTCTCAGAGCAAAACATATTAATCATCGTTTAACTTCAATTAAGGTTAAGGGGTTGACATTCATCATCCATCATATTTTGTATCACATCGATTTCAGGGATCGAAAATCAGTTGGAGAATATTAATGGGATTTAAATGACAGAATCTGTTTTGTCGTAGTTTCTCCTAGGTAAGATGTTGGGTTTCCATCATTTCCAACAAGTATGAACCGACTCATTAATCAGGAGATGGAGATTGGATTCTCGCGAGGGCCCGGAAGATAAAATTGAGATACTGTACTTGCCTTGAAAGAGAGGAACCGTTGGTAAAAGGAAAGAGAAGTGTTCCTTTCAAGAATCCCACGGAGAAAAGGCAGGAAGTTGATCCGGGTTCACGGGTGTTACGAGCTCGGTGGGTGGGATTGCTTTTCCCGCCCGCGAAAGGAAAAAAGACGAAATAGATCCTCGATTCCGTTGCGTCATTGTTCTTCTTCGGCGAGAAAAGTTGCGGGTCGACTCTTGAACATACTGAACCCATCAGGTACCCCCATAATTTGTTTATTGAACCTCGACAGTCAAGTGGGACGTGAACATTTTCGATGACACCGTGTTCCAACCGTACCCGAGGACCCAGGCTGAGGCCGAGAGTCAGGGTTTCACCCAAATCGGATCCGGAACCTGCGAGGAGGGATTCGCTGGGCACAGGTACGCGCTCAACGGGGATTACTCAGTCATCGTCGTCTACGATGTCAATGGGTACATCGCTGGAATTCAGAACGCCGTGAGTACGCTTTTGTGCCCCTCATTCGGAACCAAATGGGTTACACTATTCAGTAACGCGATTTATCATGCATTGTACAGTCAAACCTCTTCAAGTCGAAGATCAGAGGCATACCAAAGATAATTCAACTTATGGTATTTTCGAGTCAGGGAAAGAAGCATTTTCGAATAAAAAATTACATGAAGATTAAATTGGTGATCTTCTGGACATTATAGAAGGCCTGTATAAATTTGTTACAGGGGATAGTCTTCAAGTGGGGAAGTTTACATCCCCAACCTTTTCGGGTCTTGGGACTGGCAAATTTCCATAACATTTTCTGCAGACCAGGGAAGTTCCATAAAATCTTTTCAGACTTGAAAAAGTTTTCTGTGAAAGACTAATATTTAAAATATTTCTGCTTTTTTCAAAAATCAAGAACCAATGAAGCACCTATATACAGTTGTAGAATGTCTGATGAAAATTTTAAAATAATTTATTTCAGCAGGTGAAACTTTTTCTGAAGTGTTATCAAGAGAAAGCCAACTTGTTATTTTTTCATCTGATTATTTCAACTCCCATTTTCTTTGCAACATTTCACATAAAGATAGCAGACCTCATTGCTACTTCAGTTAATTTATTATGCTGCAGAAAATTTCCCATAGACTGGCAAACAACTTCTGAGGACCAGTGCTGGTCTGAAAACCACAGGTTGGGGGAACAGTGGTCAATACCCGTGTTCCCCAACCTTTTTGGGCCTGTGGACTGGCAAAGATAAAAAATTTTTTTACAGACACAGAAAAGTTTTGCTTGAAAGACTTCAATGCAGGCATTTAAAAAGTTTCTGATGTTTTCAAAATTAAGTTACAAAGCAATTAAGGAGCTATGTTGGAGTATCTTCAAAAATTAGAAAGGTGGGCTTGAAGAAAGGTTTCTCAGAATGAAATGTAAAAATAATTGATCTCATCAGGTGTACATTTCTCCAAAGTGTTATCAGGAGATAAGCCAACAGTTATTTTTCATGAGATACTTTTAATGGCCATTGGTTAGCCAAAATTTCAGATAAAGATATTATAATGTCCTTTGTTGCCACTTTTGATTAATTTATTATGCTGGAGAAAATTGCCAGTTACGTCTGTGGACCAGCACCAGTCCGATAGAATTCAACCAGGGGTTAAATAAAATTTTCATATATTCTGAAAGTTTTTGACTCAGGGAGGTTTGCGTTAGGAAGTTCCAACAAAATGAGACCATGTGCAGTAGTCTGCCAATTTTCGATTATTGCAACAGAATCAATGCGCTGAAAAAAATCCAAATGAACATCATGGATTGGGCCCATCCCAAAAATATCGTTGCGTTACCCGGCACGCGCTTGGACCTTGACCTACCATTCAAAATTGTAAAACCTGCGATGTGTCTCAAAAAAGGCTAAACAAAACGCTCTCGTTGTACTGCTGGCGTCACCTATGTGATAATTCCACAACAATTCGAGAAGCACGAGCTGAAAACCGATGCGGTTAACGGTCATAATAGAGGCGCTCTCAAGTGATGGTCAATTATCTGTTCTCTGAATCTCGGTCGTCCTTCTGGAAATTATCCTACTTGTCTGATAAATTCCGAAGATTGCGATCAAAGGTTATAAAAAAAAATGAGAACTACGAAAAAGTCGAGAACAGGGTGATTCACGAGTCTCTCCCGTGATTCAACAGAAATTCGCACTTATTATCTTTTGTACTAAAATATTTCTCGAACGCAGGGAACTTCCCTTTCGGAAAATTCTACATTGAAACACTTCGCACATTCGAGGTAATTGCGCAGGGTTTTTTTTTCAGCGGTCTTCGATCATGTTTGATTAGGTAATAATCCTAAATTAATCACGTGTCACCAGAGCATGCAGAGAATTCGTGGTGACTGCAATAATGAATTATCACAGAACTTTCAGAGGGTATTTTCGCGTGCCCTGTAATTAGACCAGGTCGAGTATTTCAGGTATTTATATTTTTATGGAATGTTTGGACAGGTTCCAAAACTTTTTTCAAGAATTTGCGACATTTCAGCGGGGTTCATGTCGGTAATTTTCCAGAATTAAATTTCGTTCTGAAGATTTTGTGAACAGAACATTGCTTGACTTGGAAATCATTCAATTCAACTTTTCAATTACTTTCAAAATGCCGTCAAACCTCTTCAAGTCTAACTTCAAGGTTACATCAAAAATTTGGAGTTAGAGAAAACCGAAATTTCTTCTGTGGTACAGAACAAAAGTACTGTACTGTATTACAGGAAATTTTAATTGGTGATATTCTGGACCTAAAATGCTTTTTGAATGAGAGTTCACAGGATGCTGAAGTGGTACCCAACCAAAAGCGGTACTTTCCTGTTATCTCTGTGCCTACTTTCCTGTTATTCCTTTCCTGTACCTTCCCTCTGACCAATTTAACCTGACCTAACCTAACTTCACCTATCTGCCTCCTAAAGTCAGTTTCTGCTTTCTTTGGGTATCTGCTGAAACTGGTTTTTGGGAGGCGGTTAGGTCAGGTTATGTTAATTGAAAGAGATTTGTAAATAGCATAACCTGACGTAACCTAACTTTACCTAACCACCTCCCAAAATCAGTTTCAGCAGAATGTGGAAAAATAAAAATTCACAGTTTCTGGTAGGTAGTCCTGATTATGAACTTGTCCTAAAGATTTGCCTGGATGGTAGTGCAGTCTAGGAATGAGGTACAGAGATAACAGGAAAGTACCCCAAAAGCCCCCCTAGGTCAAAGAATCCTTGCCAAAATCCCACCCCCATTTTTTGAAAATACTGCAGTGACAGTTTCATAAACCATATTTTTTTAAATAGGTTAATGACAGGTTTTAAATCTCCTTATGGATGGGGGGGGGGGGGGGCTTTTGGATGACAATCGCAGAAGTTGGAGGCACAGGTGCATTTGCCCAATTAGTCTTTCACTTCTTTTCAAAACGCATTAAGTTATATTTTTATTGTCATTTCTCTCCTGCGTTAATAAAAAAAAATATGCAGAAGGACTACAGAAAATTTGAGCTTCGGAGGTTTGAATGGGAAACCCTTTGAGTTAGGTTCATGTTTTCAATGCATTCATTCTTCGGGAGTTCAAAGAGAAGTTCGAGTTATTCAAGTTATGCAACTGTACAGTACTTTTACTTTAATAGTGTACTGTCCAGTACATCTTAAAGAGGAAAATACTGCAATTCCCTTTTCTTCGCCCATGGGTCCGGAAGAATTGAGGGGTTCTCTTTTGAAACAATTTGAGCCTTCAAATTCGTTAATCGTAAAAGCAGTAATTTACAAAGATAGGCAAAACAAATTGGCGATTAAATTTGACGGGAGCCGACTGAAACCATCCCCACTACGGTAATTATACTCAGTTTTACAATCGGCGTTTTCTTCTAAACAATCGCTAGCATTTTTCGTGAGGATGAACTGCACAGGTCACTTATTGATTTCGAGGAAAATTAACCTTTCCGACGTTATCGCAGAAACGGGGAAATAATTAATGTCAATCGAAAACGGGACGGAAAATATTTTGCCGTTATCTACTCGTCTAATGCGCTTCGGTTCGATGAATGACCTTCGATTCCCCGGTTCGAAAACTTGCGATAACCCCGAATATTCCAGAGACGATGTCTTGCTGATACAATTTGTAATTGCTTCTTCAGAAAACAATGCGAATTTCCTCCACTTTTTCGGAGAATACTCGACGGCGTCCCTTCATACGAATACTGAACGAGCATTCAGCTTCAAGGTCATTCTTTCAAGAATAAAGATGGCCTGATCTATTTTATTTTCCCCCTTCTCTGTTCATGCCATTGTTTTCTTGTTATCCGAAATTCTATATGATTACACAACAATTAACGCCAAGTATTCCGAGATGGATTTAAAAAAAAACTCCTGGTTCCTAATCTTTGAGAAATGAGAGCGCCGAATATTTCAACTTGAACGCAGATGTAAGAACACTTCCGTGAACCAACTAATCGATGCAAACTTGGGGATAATTTTTCACAAAAAAATCTTGTTCGTTTTTTCTCAAATGAGCACTACTTTGTAAAGCTCTTTGTAACGGATTGCTTCTCAGCATGAGCAAATGTTTCTTTGTCGAAAACAATTGAAGTTGGACTCTCTGTAAAGTGATCTTGGCCAGGTACATTTTCTCTGTACAGTATACAGTGGCCCCCGCATAACAGACCTCCAGTGTAAGGGATTTTTGCCAAACAGACCAGCTCTGCAGGCAGTTTTTCCTCCCACCCAACAGACAAAATTCACCAAACAGACTTCTTTTGGTTTAAAATTAGTGTTGAAAATTAAAATTTTTAAATTTTTATATAATTGATTTCGTGTAAGGGATTTTTCGTCCAACAGACTCGCCCGTTGCACGAATCAAGTCCATTAGATGGGGGTTGACTGTGCTGTGCAATGAATGCTTTCTCTGGTCCCATATGCTACTCTTCCCGTATTATACGGGTTTCTAAACGAAATTTTCTCTACGAAGAATTGATTTATTGGTTCCTCGGATTTCGTTTTAGAGAGAGCCCGTCCAGGTGTAGTATACAGTACATATTTTCTGGCAAAAAACATAATCTGCAGTCTCCGTTTAAATTTCTCGTGCAACTAAGCCAAGGAAAAGCATGAGTTGGTTTTCAGACTTTCAATCCAATGACAAAGCACCGACCGAAAACTTGGAATTCGAAACAAAATTTCGGATTGCAGTCCGCCCACAAAATTCACGAGTAGTCATGAAATGAGTACTTTAATATAATTTCATAAACATGACTGACCGGCTATTCGATGATCTTCCAAAAAAGCATTGGTTTTTCTCGACTATGGACACCACTATGCAAAACCCTTCCTAAAGGATCGCTTTTCATTTTCTGTGTCCAGAACAATTGAAGTATGTAATACACATGCCCTCAGCGTTCTTTTTTTTTTTTAGCTCTTCTGTCAGAAATTAATCTGCAATCTTTGTTTGAATTTCTCGTGAAAATCAACCAAGCGAATGTTGCAGTTGGCTTTCAAACTTCCATTCCTAGGATGAAGCACCGACCGAAACGCTGCAAATTCGTGATTCGAAACGAAATCGCAGATCGCAGTCAGTCCAGAAAATTCACGAGGAGTCGATAACTGAGGGAAAATATTTCACAAACATAAATGAAAGATAATTCGATGATCTTCGGAATCCGAACACGAACAGCGAGTGGATCCATCACCGGATGGAAACCTCGCCGAGTCCGGATCTTTCGCAGTTTCAGGCTCATGAAGCCATGAATTACTGCGTTCCGCGAATTCCGCCACAAGTTTTTACGGAACCATTTCCGGGGATGGAAAGTTGCTGGCATTCTTTCTAGCTGGTCACACAGCAGCACATGTTCATCCTGGGCCCACGAAAACCCGCGATCGCGTCATTTCCGGTTACACGGGGTCATTTCTGATGCCAGAACAGTCAAGCATATCTCAGGACACCCTCAGCAAGAATATTAACTGTCCATGAAATTAAAAAAGAAAATCATAGTATTTCAAAAAATCCAAGTGCAGTATAGAGCAGCCCACATTTTTTAAAATAAAGCGTAGCCTTCTTTGTTTGAGCATTTTGGAAACTTTTGCTCAATTCAACTTTCCTACCTTCAAGCCAGAGGTACCCAATCAAAATTAGACTTGTGAAGTTTTTGATATGGAGAAGCTCTTTCTTGAAGAAAATGGAGACATATACAGTATCTATTTTGGTTGGTAAAATATCTGCAAGCCTACATGTTCAAGCTGAAATGAGACAATGTTGATGAAAATAGTTAAGTATTCCTGGAAGATGATAATACAGTATGGATTTTGTGAAGGATTTTTCCTCTTTTTTCAAATTAACCATGTCTAGAAAAAGAGATGAGGTAGGATGGAAATAATTCAAACTAGCTCTTCAACCTGCATAATTGCCTGCGCGAAGGAACCGTTTTGCACCTGCGATCTTGTGGATACCCATTGACCAAAAATTGGCCAGTACTCCACTTTCTCAATCGCACTTTTTCAGAAATTGCTGTTTTTAAGTGAAGTTTACTTGACAGTCACAAAATAAGTTCAAGGACAAGGTTCTGCATGCATTTGAAACATCATTTTGCTAAACTAAATGACAACCATTGCTGATTTTAACACAACAAGATAGCAAGATAACACAGATCTCAAGCACAATGAGGCATACAGCAATTAAGCTGCCAACAAGCTGCAAGTGTGATTCTTTGTGCAATAGGTCCTTGCCAAATTTTGCGCAAACTGTTGTGGCTGATGGAGAACCTTTCAAGTCAAGGCATCTTGGTCTGGTGTATAAGTTTGGTGGCAGGCGTAGCCAAATTTTTCATAAAGGATATTCTGCATACTTGTTCATAAGGAATGGCTCTAAAAGTTTATGGAAAAACTTTTTTATTTTAGCTCAAGAAGTCGTTAATTTTAGGAATAACTAAATGATGCAATGCAATCCGAAGCGTATAAATTGATTACTGTACAGTTCAGTGGGTTCCCAACAAGGGGACAATTCAACTAGGGACACTTAGAAGAAGGGAAAAAATATGCCTGGACAGCTGGACTTTGTCTTGAGATGTGGACACTTTTCAAAATTTTATAAAAACGGTTTATTTCATGAACTTTTATATTTCGTGAACATATTGAGCTACTAATAAATATAAATGTTTTGAATTTTAAGTCAAAGTAGGATTTTATAGAAACTTAAGTACCGGTTTTTGTCTGTTGAAAACACGACTGAAAAGTCACAAATGGTAGTACACACGTGTAATACTGGTCTGTTGTTCTTTGAGCTCCTTCTGGGGCAAAAGATTGGATTCTACTGCATAGTTTTCTTCTGCACAGTTGTTTTCAGCATGCTGAAGGAACAAAAAAAAATTATTCACTTCTTCGGACTTCATTCCTAATTTTCGATGAACATTAGAACCAATTCAATGCGTTCCCACACTGAAGTACAGCATATGGGAAAAAGTGATCTGATGTACGGACAAGGTCCAATTGCCAATTACTGGTGTCCCACAGGACTGTACGTGAACCGAATATTCCGCATTGCTCAGGTTTTGGGTATTTCCTGCAGATAAGTCAAGCGGATGCTGAGGCCAACTCAGGAGGGTTCCCCTTCGAGGCTCAGCCGGCTTTCCGTCCCGACAACATCGACGGTGTCGATTACTGGGTTCTAACTGCCTACTTCGTCGACCCCGGTGAGTCCTGATTTCTTTCACGAGTGCCGGAACTGGTCTCGTGATCCGATCAGAAAGCCGTCAGCCGCAAGGCGAAAAGAAAAAAGAAGACTTGGATGATGAAGACTCTTCCTCACCTGTTTTCTCATCATTTCGTTCAGGGAAGTAGAAAATTCCGTGGGGCGATTTCGGCTTGAAATCAAAGGCCGGAGGAATTCGGGTGTTTCTTTCAGAACGTCAGATTTTTGAAGATGCACGGTTTTAATCACTCGAAAGTGCTCTTTAATCTTCAATCTTCAGCAATAAAAGCCTTCCTCACTGAAAACCAACTACATTTTAAAAATTAAAAAGAATTACATGAAACTGAAATCAGCGATATTCTGGGCCTTCAATTGCTTCCTGAATGAGCTGACAGGTGCTGAACTCAAAGGCCAGGGTGAATTTGTCAAGTTAGTCTTTCACTTCACATTAAAAGTTATCCAGTTGCATTTTTCTTGCTTTCCGTTTCCCATGTAAACAAAATAATAGCCAACATGTCTATAAAAATTGGGGCTATGGTTTGAGGGGGAAAAGCCTTCAAGTTAAGGAGGTTTTTAATTCACAGCTTCCAAGGAAATACAGACAGGGACTGTGACAAATTCAACATGAGGAGGTTTCCAAATCAGGGAGGTTTGAGTTATTCAATACAGTTGAGTTATCATGTTTAGTGCTTTGAGATCGTCGATTCGTGCTTTAGAAAGAGTTCTACAGGTCTTGGTTGAACCATACCTGCTGTTTTCTTCCCTCTGTAACTTAGTTAAAGTCTTTCTGTTGGACTAAGATTTCCTTTTCCATCAATACGTGCTGTTTTCTTCCCTCTGTTGTCCTGAGTTACCTTTCTAACAGCTAGCAGTTTTGTGAACAACATTTCGAGAGTCTCAATCATACGACAGTACCGCAATACGTCGATAAACCCCGCGTTTCTGCGATGAGTCGTACCACATCAAGTCACTAGATGTCACTCGATGATCGAAAGATCCCGATTCGCATGACAATGGTTTGAATGACCTGCATATTATGTACTCAAAGATGGTAACTGTTTCTTGTAGAATGTAGAAACATATATCTAGTTCAGAAATTGGGGCGGGAAAATATTTGCAAGTCTACATGCCCGAGATGAACTGAGATCATGTTGATGAAACTAGTGAAGTACTGTATTTGTGGAAGATGATAATATGGATTTGTGAAGGATTTTTTCTTTTTCAAATCAACCATGTCTAGAAAAGAAGATGAGGTAGGATGGAAATAATTTCCACGTTTCGGCGATAAGTCGTACCAGATCAAATCACTAGCTGTCACTCGATGATCGAAAGATCCCGATTCGCATGACAATCGTTCGAATGACCTGCATATTATGTACTCAAAGATGGTAACTGGATTTATGGGGACTTATTGCAGCTCAAGTTTGCGTCGGAAGAACGTCCGAAGAGTTCGATGAATTCGGCACAGGAACCGGACTCTTCATCGTAACCGGACCCGGCGCCATGGATTACGACGCAATTCCCTCCAAGCAGGAAGATGCGGAGCTCTCGGAATGGGTCTATGGACGTTGCTTCGTCTCCATGGGTGAGTGGACCATAGTTGGCACCCAGCAATGGCTCTTTGGGGCACCACGGTGCCCCAAAGCTGTCATCGCACCAGACACTTTCAAGTACGCCCGGGAACGGCGCCTGCCAAAAACGCCAGCATCATCTGGTCTGGATTAGTTCAGACAGAAGGTGCTGTTGGTTGAGATTGTTCAGGGTTTATTCCGCGATACACGAATACTGCAAAATTTTTAGTTGAGTAACACGCACCTTCGCCTTCTCAAAAATCGTTGAGAAAAAATTCAACAAGATTATGCATCGGTAAAAGGTTTTGATCGACATTTTTTTGGTGCTCAATGTCATCTTTCTCAGAGCTAATTTATTTTTAAACCGCAGACGCCCCAATCAATGGTAAAAAAAAGGACTAGCAGAAAAAAATGTCCCTTGGAGCCAAGTTGACGTGGTTCTGAAGTCACANAATCATACGACAGTACCGCAATACGTCGATAAACCCCGCGTTTCTGCGATGAGTCGTACCACATCAAGTCACTAGATGTCACTCGATGATCGAAAGATCCCGATTCGCATGACAATGGTTTGAATGAGCTGCATATTATGTACTCAAAGATGGTAACTGTTTCTTGTAGAATGTAGAAACATATATCTAGTTCAGAAATTGGGGCGGGAAAATATTTGCAAGTCTACATGCCCGAGATGAAATGAGATCATGTTGATGAAACTAGTGAAGTACTGTATTTTTGGAAGATGATAATATGTATTTGTGAAGGATTTTTTCTTTTTTAATTCAACCATGTCTAAAAAAGAAGATTAGGTAGGATGGAAATAATTTCCACGTTTCTGCGATAAGTCGTACCAGATCAAATCACTAGCTGTCACTCGATGGTCGGAAGATCCCGATTCGCATGACAATCTTTCGAATGACCTGCATATTATGTACTCAAAGATGGTAACTGGATTCATGGGGACTTATTGCAGCTCAAGTTTGCGTCGGAAGAACGTCCGAAGAGTTCGATGAATTCGGCACAGGAACCGGACTCTTCATCGTAACCGGACCCGGCGCCATGGATTACGACGCAATTCCCTCCAAGCAGGAAGATGCGGAGCTCTCGGAATGGGTCTATGGACGTTGCTTCGTCTCCATGGGTGAGTGGACCATAGTTGGCACCCAGCAATGGCTCTTTGGGGCACCACGGTGCCCCAAAGCTGTCATCGCACCAGACACTTTCAAGTACGCCCGGGAACGGCGCCTGCCAAAAACGCCAGCATCATCTGGTCTGGATTAGTTCAGACAGAAGGTGCTGTTGGTTGAGATTGTTCAGGGTTTATTCCGCGATACACGAATACTGCAAAATTTTTAGTTGAGTAACACGCACCTTCGCCTTCTCAAAAATCGTTGAGAAAAAATTCAACAAGATTATGCATCGGTAAAAGGTTTTGATCGACATTTTTTTGGTGCTCAATGTCATCTTTCTCAGAGCTAATTTATTTTTAAACCGCAGACGCCCCAATCAATGGTAAAAAAAAGGACTAGCAGAAAAAAATGTCCCTTGGAGCCAAGTTGACGTGGTTCTGAAGTCACACAGTCAACTCTTATAGTTTTTCGATTAAAGTACAGCACTGTATTGGAATTTTGGCCACTGAAAACTGGGATGCTGCATCACGTGAATTTCAATGTCAAGGATGCAGATGCACATCTCACAAAGGACTGTGGAGTATTTCTGTAAATAAAGTATTGTACAGTCTGCTAGAATTAATCTCATTACTATAAATGTGTGGATCCTCTGGATGACTAAATCCAACTGACCTGAACAAAAT